CATTGATGTGCATGTACACATGCACCCACCCACAGACTTTATATATGTGAAGGCAGACTCTGGCAAATACGCCTGCATACACATGCAAATGCACACTCGCCTTCTCGTCGTGCATGTGAACACACGTTCCTGAATTTGTATTCATTCACACACGCATGTCCACATCTGTGAATTTGTTCCTCTTTGCAGGGCCACCAGCTCAGTGCTGGCCACAGACCAGTGGTGGGAGAGCTTCTGCACTGTAGGGCAGTCAAAGCTTATTCCTGGGTCCTCCAACAGGCTCGGCAAGTTCCCTCCTCTGTTCTCTCTGCCCAGCATGTCCTAGCCCTCTCGCCCTTCAAGGTGCAGCTCAAAAACAACCCCTGCAGGAAAGCTTCCCTGATGCCCCAGCCAGAAAAATCTGCCCCCTCTAGCTCTATTTTTCCACGTCAGCCTGCCTGGTGTTACTCTCGTCTCTCCAAGAGGGACCCTGAGCTCTGAGAGGACAGTGATCGTGGCTCATTCACCCTCGTGCCTCCTCCTGATGCCCAGCACAGAGTGGTGGCTCTGGAATAGAGGTTGCATTGAAATGAACCATGCTGATATGCGGGTATCACAGGTTACCCTCTTATCTCTGCACAAATCAGTGCCCAGAGGAGCCGGCAAAGCTGGGGCCTGTGGCTGGTCACCCCCAACCCATGGGCAGACCCTGGGACTCCAGGCTGCACTCTACACCCTTCCTAGCACAAAATTCCCCAAGGCCCTCACACAGGCACCACCTCCAGCCCCTGCTGCCCTGACCACTGACCACAGCCCAATTCTGAGAGCAAGAGCCCTTTCAGACTGGACAAGCCTGGGGGCAGATCTCAGGACTTGCTTTGTCTGCTTTAAACAGACGCTTCCAGCCCACCGAAGGAGGCAGATTTTCCAAGGTGCTTGAAGATCTGCCCTCAGGCAGTGCTTCTTAGAGCCTGGTCCACTGTATCAGAAGCACCCAGGGTGCAGGTTAATGCAGAGTCCTAGGCCCACCCCAACCTTCCTGAATCAGAACTGCTGAGGTGGAGCCAGGGAATCGGCATTAACAATAAACATTCCAGTTTAGTCCTGGTTAAGGGTCTAAGAGCCACATTACCCAGTGCAAATTCTGGCACCACCATTTACTAGCCCTTAGGCAAGTCCCTTAACATCGCTGAGCCTCAGTTTCCTGATCTGTAAAATGGGAATAATAAATGGTGCCTACCTCGTGGGGCTGCTGTGGGAGTAAATGAGATCATGAAAGTGAAGTGCCCGGCATAGTGCCTATGTGGACTCAACAGATGTGCACTATTAGCAGCACAGCCACGTTCTCACGCCTGGGGATTTCTGAGTGAGGGGCAGAGCCTTGAGGTTTTCCCATGGGGAAGGGCCCTGTGGAGGTCTTCTGAGCAGCAGGAAGCCTTTGCAGGGCAGGGCCCTTGCCCAAGACACCCTGCCACCTAGTGGTTGGTATATGGGACCATGCCCAGCTCTCCTGCCTCCACCCAGCTGAGGTCCAAGGCCCACTTGCCATAGCTTCCACCCTGCCTCCTGGCCTGCTGGCAGCCTCCCTCCCTGCCCTGCTGCCCTGGGAGCCTAACCGGCTTGGCATGAGCCCTGGCACTCCCTCCAGCTTTGTAATAAAATAGCCGGCTTGGGTCAGCTTTCCCTGGCAGAGAAGCCACCTGACCCAGAGGGTAGGGTTGGGAGGGGAGACGCCTGGGGAAACAGTTCTTTCAGTGACCAGCAATTACAGTCTGGTGCTCTCCAGGGATCACTTGCTCCCCAAACCAGGTGACCCCCAGGAAAGAACCCTTCTTATTTGCTTCCTTCCTTTCCTAATCCTTCATCATTCATCTATGCATTAATTCCTTCAATATTGAAATGGCTACTGTGTGTCAGGCGCTGGGGCTCAATAGCGGTCACCAGAGTCGGCAAACTTTTCTGTAAACGGCCAGTTAGTAAATATTTTCAGCTTTTTGGGCCAAACTATTCTGCTCTTGTAGCAAGACAGAAGCTGTAGACAGTATGTAAACAAATGGGTGGATCTGGCTGTGTTCCGATAAAACTTTATTTGTGGACCCTGAAATATGAATTTCATAGAATTCTCGTGTGTCACAGAATATTCTTGATTTTTTTTCCCCACCCATTTAAAAATGTAAAAACTATTCTTAGCTTGCAGGCCATACAAAACAGGCAACAAACAGCCAGTGGGCAGTAGCTTGCCAGCCTGAGCTTAGCCCTCCACACTGAGACCACAGAGTGTGCCATGCCCTGGTGGTGCCAATACCTCTAACAGAATTGAGGCCTTTGGAGAGGCTCAGCTCAACCACTGCAGCCTCCCAGAGTCCGGTGAGTTATTTAACATCTCCGTGCCTCAGTTTCCTCATCTGTAATACCTACCTCATGGGTTGTTGAGAGGATGAAAGAGTTAATACATGCATGTACAGTGCTCACGCGAGTGCCTGACATGGAGTAGGTGGTCAGTGCTCGTTCGTTCTCATCGGTTCCTTCTCTCCCACTCCAGCATGGCTCTGGGCACAAAGGGCATGCTCAGTCTCTCCTTGATAAGTCCTAGCTTCCAGAATGAGGGAAAAAGTCCCCTGACTCCCTGCCCAGGGGCAGCATCTGTACCTAGACTCCTGGGAGGCTTTGCCCTCTGGACTTAGCTTGGAGTATTTCCCTTTTGGCTTTTTTGCCCCCAGTGAAATGACCCCTTTGTCCCTCCCAGACTACCCCACCTGGATGCCCAGGGTTAGGAATATGAGGACATGAAGAGCTCTTGGCTGGTTCTGCTCCAAGGAAGAGCTGTAGAGGAGGAGGCTGCTTGGCTGGAGATAAAGGAAGAGGGAGCCTACCTTACCAGCCAGCCCAAGGTCCATGGGGGTGGGCAGGCTGCCCAGGTCAAGGCCTTGGGCATCTCACCCATTAGGCCAAATAGCTCGACCTTCCAGCACTTTGCTCTCCTCTCTAGGTACACTCCTCTCCCAGGTGGGTGCCTGGTCTGCTCTGCCCTCCAGAACAGCACCCCACCCTCCCCCTCCAAGAGCCTCTATTCCCTTATCTGGTTTCATTCTTTCATAGCCTTTATCACTATGTGAAATTTTATTATTTGTTTACTAGGATTTTCTTCAGTCACCTTTACACTAGAATTTAAGCTCCTTAAGGGCCAGACTTGTCTGCTTTAATCCTTATGATTACCCTCACAGAACAGAAGGACAGATAATATCTTCTATTTAATAAGTGAGCACACTGAGGTCACCCAGTTAGTGAGCAGCAGAATGAGGATCCAGGGCCAGGTCTGTTTGACAGTCAAAAGCTCACATTCTGAACCTCCACCATAAGACAGAGCTTGATTAATCTGGCAAGATGGCAGGAGATGGGGCATAGTACCCAGGCCTTGAGCCCGACAGTCTGTTTCCAGCAGCAGTAGCAGTAGTAAGAGGTCAGGAAGCATTTGGGGGAGTCCTAGGAACCTTCTCTCCTACTGTTGCAGGAGGCAAAGCCAGGTGGGCTTCACTCCTGCCTTCTTGGAGCTCATGGGCTGTTTAGACAGAGATACGTGTCTAGTCTCTTTACTGCAAAGCCAACTGTGCTACGAGCTATAAAGGGTTACAAAGCACTTTACAGGTACTGTCTTAGTCTGCTCAGGCTGCTGTCACACAATACCATAGACTGGGTGGCTTAAACAACAGGAATTTATTTCTTGCAGTTCTGGAGGCTGGGAAGTCCAAGATAAAGTGCTGGCTGATTTGGTTCACGGTGAGAGCCCTCTTGCTGGTTTGCAGCCGGCTGCTTTGTATCCTCACATGGCAGAGAGAGAGTTCATCTCTCTCTTGTCTCTTCTTATAAGGGCACTAACCCCATTCATGAGGGCTCCACCCTCAGGACCTAATTACCTCCCAAAGGTCCCACATCCAAATAGCATCACATTGGGGATCAGGGCTTCAACATATGAATTTGAGGAGGACACATTCAGTCCATATCAGGTGCTGACTGTGGTACTCAGGAAAGTCAGGACAGTGGAGCCTGGGAGGACCAGGGGCAGGGCGGGGGTGCCACCAGGGAAGGCACTTTGGACAGACAGGGCTGCAGAAACAAAGGCCAATGAGATAGGGGCTGTTTGAAGAATGGTAAGGGCTCCGAATGGCTAGAGCCTAGAGGGTGTTGGGAAAGGGCAGTGCTGGTGTAAGGTGGTTGAGAAGGTAGGTTGGGGTCAAATCACGGAAGGCCTAAAAGAGACTGGGAAAGATTGGGCTGCCTATGGCTGCACAGTGGATAATAAGACCAAGGACGAAACAGCCGATTGCATGTGTTGGGCGCTTTACATTTTACAGAGCACTTCCTGACCACTCTTCTGTTCTGTCCTCACAGTTGGTAGCATGCAGGCAACAGCAGCAAGTTTAGGATCGGGAGCCTGGGGTCCGCTCCACCCAGGTACAAGTTGTGTAGATTTGAACAAGTAGCTTCACATCTCCAAGTCTCACCTTACTCATCTCTGATAACATGGCCCAATGCTCAGCGCTTTAGGAAGGATTACACAAAACCACCCATGTGAAAATGCTGTATTTAACTTCTGGTCCTCAGTTCCTTCTCTGTAAATTGGGGACAATTCCTATGCAGCCTAATTCAGGGGGCTGTGGCTTCGATTTTGTAAGCAAAGGCCAAATGGCAAGAATCTTATTAATGAGGCCAGGGAAGTTAGTGTTTCTTGATTGGTAGGCTGAGAGCCTCAGAGAAAGGTCTTCGGCTACCTTAACAGTGTCTCTTAGAACTGATCATAGTTTATAACTTATTTGGGACAGGTAAGGAATAGGCACAGAAAGCACACAACCAAGTACAAAACAGAGAGGCGATGCGGCGCAGGAACACTGACGTGCCCGCCGCCGGCCCACTTAAAGGGCCCGACCTTCTCGTGTCCCGCCTCCGCCGTCCCAAAACCACCAATCAGCGAGCGAGCGGCTCCATGGCGCTATCTTCTCGCGACGAAGCCGGCTGGTGGCGGCGTTTCCTTGTGACGGAGCCCGTGCCGAAGCTATGGGCAGTCAGGAGGTGCTGGGCCAGGCGGCCCGGCTGGCCTCCTCCGGTCTGCTCCTGCAGGTACTCTCTGCCCGGCCGGCCCCAGCTCACCCCGCAGCGGTCATTGGCGGGGTGGCGGCCCTGGGGCCCTTGAGAGCTCGCCCCGGCGCAGACCCAGTTCCGGCGTGAACCGCGCTACGGAGGGCTTCGACTGAAGGCAGGGTCGGGGGCGCCTGCCCCCGGAGTTGGAGACCTGTGTACAGAGCCTGGCTGGGAGACTGCAAACCAGCCACCTTCCGTCTGAGCATTATGTTTCCCATATGGTAGTAGGAGAGGGTTAGATCAGGTGGCAGGGGTGCCTTTGGTGCTCTAGAGTCTGATATTTTTAAGGCAAGGGATTCTTTTTCTTCATATCCCACCCCGGACCCTCAAACACCTTCTTCAAACTCGCTGACTCCCATTGAGTTCAGAGAGACAATATGGCATATCTAAGAACTGGGACCTGGGCTAGGCAGGCCTGGATTGAAATCCTGGTTCTACCGTGTGCTTGCTGCATGACCCAGAACAAACGACTTCACCTGCTAAGCTCAGCTCCTCATCGGGAAAATGGGGATAATAATAGTACCTAGTTCTTAAGGTAGCTATGCGGCTTGACTGGGGTCATTCAGATAATTGCACTTAACACAGTACCTGGCTCTTACTATGCACTTAGTAAATGTTGGCTGTATCTTCTGACTATATAACCTTGGACAAGTCACTTCCTCTTCTTGCCTTAATAGTCGTCATCTGTCAGGTATGTTGTATGCCAGTTGGTCCAAATGGTATCTAAAGATGGTTTTAGCTCTAGGAGCTAATCATTCTAAGTCAAGTGGCTCAGTTTCTCTATGTCTCATCTTGAGCCATTGAACTCTTACAAGAATCCTGAATCCACCCTCCCCCTTATTTTAGAGAGGCAGCATTTCACTTGGAGATTAGGAGAAAGAACCAGGTGTACTTTGGCTCAAGTTTGGGCCTTGTCTCTTGCCAGATGCCTGCCTTTGTGAAATTCACTTAACTTTTTTTTCCAAGCATCAATTTCCTCATCTTAAATGAGAACAATAATGCAACCTCATAGAGTCATTAGGGAGATTAGATGAAATGCCTGTTAAGTGCCTGGCACGTTATAAGTACTTAAATGTTAGCTATTTTTATTATGTAATAAAGATTTTTTAAATGGTCATTGTAGGGATGAAGAGAGATAATCTACGTAAAGGATGTAGAAGATTGCCTTGCATAAGACATATGCTTAATAAACATTAGCTATTCACCTAACCCTAAATTTGGTGAACCCTAAGTTCACCTAGTTTTTTTTTTTTCTGTCTCACAACATAAATAACAGTTCAGTGCTTTATGCACAATGCTGATCGTTCGACTTTTGATGATACCTTACCATCCAGATTGGCTTCATAAAAAGAAAACAAGTCTTAGCAGAAAACACCGTGGGCTAGGAGTTGGGTGACCTGCTCGTATAAGGTCAAGCTGGGTCATTTGCTTGCTGTGTGACATTGGGCAAATCACTTTGCTCTGAGTCACACGTGCTTCCTGTGTATTTACCCGGGTGCTTTTAAGGGTCAAATAACCGACAGTTGTGCAAGAGCTTTTTTTAAACTATAAAGTCCTTTACAAAGTTAAATGAAGACTGTTGCTAATAAGGGCCACTATGTGGAGCCAGTACTCAGTAGCATGAGCAACCTCAGAGCTTCATTAACTCAAACCTTTATTCAAACCAATTAGGAGATAAGGAGATAGCCTGAGATACTAAGTTTTTTAGACAATGATAACTTGGGCTTTAAAGTTAACATAACTGTGTGTATGTGGTTTTTTAAAAATAGCCGTAATCTAGGTTTCTTGAGTGTTTTAATTTGGTCTTTTATGCTTTCTCAAATTATAATGCAAACACTTGAGGTAGCTATTCAATTACATTGTATTCTGCAAGAATTTGAGAGCTAATTCTCTGTCTTAACTCTGAGCTGGCCATAGTGAAAGTATTAATGCCTTTCATTCGTATGTATTTTTCAAAAATGATTTCACCTCTATGATCTCGTTTATCAACCCTATGAGATAGGTAGCCTCATTTGAGAAAGGTGGAAATTGAGGCTTAGAAGAATTAGAAGATGATGGGTTTAACAGCTAAGTGATGAGTTGAGATTGTCAGCTGAGTGCTTTTTCCATTAAGGGCTCCATGAATTGGCTTGAAACTTCTAAAATTGAGTATAGAATTTGATGTGTATGTATATAAGTATGTACCTGCATGTTTCTAAGGAGAGCTACAGAGCTTTCATCAGACTCAAAAGGTCACCTTTGACTCCATAAAGGCTAAGATTGTGTCTTGGCTTTGGAGACCTTGTTGCTCTGTGACACTTCAGGGACAGTGTTAAACTGCACTCTCCCTTTTTGGTTATACCTTTCCCTGGAGATTTTTAGACCATAGTAATCCATTGGCATTTTGATTGAATATTTCAGATTGCAGCTGATCACGAGTAACTCTGAGAGAGCTTGACATAGAAATGATTTGTCATTTGCTCTGGAATGCGCTTGAGTTACCCTTGAGGTAACTGCCAGGATGCAGAGGGGGAATGAGGCTTGCAACCCAGCCAGCATCCCCATTTAACAACCTCATTTAATTGTAACCTATTGTCTCTGTCTCAGGGGAAGAATTCTTTGCTCAGGTGGTTTTCTTGAATTGACAGTTTGCAAGTCTCAGGATGTATCCCTTTCAAATGGCAATAGTTGGCTTCTTTCCCTTTCTCCCCTATTTTATATTATCTTATTACTGCAGTTATCATTTAGAAGGTGTTTCAGCTCCTCTCGGGAAAGTGGCATATATTCAGTAAATACAGACTTTTCTGTTTCCTAATTGAGAAAACTGAAGTTCAAAGAGACGGGGGCTGGCCTGGTGTCACAAGCGGTTAAGTGCGCACACTCCGCTTCGGCAGCCCAGGGTTCGCAGGTTCAGATCACAGGCGCTCACCGACGCACCGCTTGTCAAGCCATGCTGTGGCGGCATCCTATATAAAGTGGAGGAAGATGGGCACAGATGGTAGCTCAGGGCTGACCTTCCTCAGCAAAAAAAAAAAAAAAAAGAGGAAGATTGGCATCAGATGTTACCTCGGGGCTGATCTTCCTCACCACAAAAAAAAAACTGAAGTTCAAAGAGATTAAGTGTCATTATCGGTATTCCCAGATATTTATTACTAGGCAGAGATCTAGATTACTAGATCCTTTGATTCCTAGTGACTCTGCTATACCCTGCAGGCTCCCACTTGCGAAGCGTGTGCTATTTCTAAATAGGCTGGAGGGAGGGGCAATGTGAAGCACTAACTAGAATTCTCTTTCTGCCTCCTGGAGTGCCTGACTTTAGACCCGAAGAAATTCACTGAGTCTCTTGGGGCCTCCGTCTTCTCATCAATGAGTCAGGGAGACTTCGAGTGCCTTCCTGAGTTCTTTGGCCACTGCACAGGGGTGCCAAGAGACCCAAGGAATGAAATTTCAGAATAAATGCAGACAGCTTGAGTGTTTTAGAGAGGATCTCCACGGCAAAGCTGCTGTTTGTCATTACATTAGGAAGAGCAGCCACATTGTTTTAATTTCAGCAAAGTAAACATCCCCCACATAATTTATTCTTATATATTTTTCTTTTTCTGTAGGTGTTGTTTCGATTGATCACCTTTGTCTTGAATGCATTTATTCTTCGCTTCCTGTCAAAGGAAATTGTTGGCATAGTGAATGTAAGGTAAGAAGGGATGTATCCTTTCATTGTCCACAACTCACATCCCTCATCAGGTTTTCTCCAAACTGTGCCTGTGTGTCACCCTTGGATTTTAGAAGTGTAGACCTTTACCAGAAGCAGAGTGTTGTAGCAGTGGGCTGAGGAGGAGCATGCTGGGGTGGGGGAATGAGCGGGTGATGTTGCTTGTAACGGACCCATGGAGTGTTTTCCATTAGCAGCCTCCAAACGCACATTTCTCTACCAGCTGTTCCCGTTTGCGTGCTCTTAGAACCCAGGAGAGGAGTGGGAGTAATTCATTGCAAACCCTGTCTGGGGTATAATCCTGTGTTCTCATCCTGCTGACAGCAAAGGAAGCAGGAATCCCGCAGTTCGTGAGGATGTGCTGCATAATTGCAGGGCTGGAACAGCCACCTTCCTTCCCTCCTCAGTGAGTTTTATAATTGGAAAATGGGAGCTGGGATGAGAGCTTGAGTCCTTGTTGTTAGTTCCTTAGAGACTCTTAGAAAGCTGACTTGCTTTGTCTTTTAGACTCAGTTTTTTCTTCTACTCTCCTCCTTTCTGTTCAAGGATGCCCACACATATTCTGTATTCACTAATGACACAAAAGTATATGAAATGATGGCAGTGCTCAGAATAGCTCAGCTTCTCAGGTGTGTCTTCATGTCCTGATAAACAAGACAGTATGTCCCAGACAGCATTTCACATCTCTTACCCACCAAACATGCTCTTGGCTCTGTTCTCGGAGCTTAGTGAAGATTCTCAAACTTGGATGGGCAGAGGAATCAGCTGGGGAGCTTTGCACTGCTGAGGGGCCCAGGAATCTGCATTTTGACAAGCTCCTCAGATGATTTTGAAGTAGGGACCATATTTTGAGAAGTACTGTTTTAAAAGCAGGGAGGAAGAGGGCCAAATCTTCATAGGTGCTCAGACTTTAAAGCAGTTTGGGCTTCTCCCCAGCTGCTCTCCCCCGGATTGGCAGGTCCCTGCTTTGACAGCCCTTGTCTGGCCTGCCCCCTGTTTAACTTATGGTTCAGTCTCCTCTTCGGCAATGTTGGACAGAAGCGCTGGGTAGCAGGATGATCCTTGGACAACTTCAGCCTTGGGCCGTCCCCACACTGGCTTCAATTGCCATGGCCTGGTGAGGAAGGGAAACCTCAGCTACTCCTCGCTGAGGTGCAGGAGGGTCCACCTAGGTGCTGCCCACCTAAGAGGTACGCACACCAGCCTTGCTGGCCTGGGTTGCAGCAGCCTCTGGAATTGCTGCCAGCCTTATTGCCTGTCCTGAGATTCTTTTGGCCAGAGCCTTCACACAGTAGAGCCTCAGCTTCTCTCACAAGGGCCACTGGGTCACCAGTCTCAGGGTGACCAAGAGGTCCCTTTGCTGTATGGGGTTATATCTGTTCCTTTTCTCCTCCTTATGGTCAGAGCCACACCTCTGCCTATAGCCACAAAGCCTGCAGGCTTTGGGGGCCACGCCGGCAGTTTCTATCCTGGGCATAATGCTCTGTCTGTAGGCACACACTCAGGTGTCCCTTGTTTGGTTCCTAACTCTGTTGTTCGAGTAGATCAGACCAGTGAGAGGTCCTGTAAGAACTCAGCTGCCTTCCACATCACCAAGTGTGATTTATGACCAAGACTTTTTCTCCTCCCCCTTGCTGGCAAAATCTCAGAAATTCTCTCTATGAAAAAACTAAGGACCTTATTGATTTCTGCTTTTCCTTTACAGGCTAACACTGCTTTACTCGACCACCGTCTTCCTGGCCAGAGAGGCCTTCCGTAGAGCATGTCTGAGTGGGGGCACCCAGCGAGACTGGCGCCAGACCCTCAACCTCCTGTGGCTAACGTGAGTTGTGCTTTGGCAGCAGACAGTTTCAGGAAGGCAAGTGTAATAAGAGTTATGAGTTAACAGCAACAGTTGCCTAAAGTTGAATTGTCTCCAGGTTTGGTTTCTCAGTGGGTTTCTGGGGATTTGGTGTGGGACAGGAAGGGGAGAGCGTCTGTGCAGAAGGAACTTCTTGGCTGTTTTCTCTCTGGATGGCCAGGAACCAGGAGGAGGCTCCAAGTGGGGGTTTCTAAGCCAGGTTTCTGGCCCTATCTCTACCCTTTGGAGGTTGTTTCTGCTGTTCCTGATCCCCACTCTGGGCCCGACTGGGCCTGTGCCATCTTTTTCATTCCTAATCTTTTCCCCCTATAGTATTTTCTAAGCTTTTAACAACCACTTAGTCTTAGTATTTTTGTGTGTGTGTGAGGAAGATTAGCCCTGAGCTAACATCCGTTGCCAATCCTCCTCTTTTTGCTGAGGAAGATTGGCTCTGGGCTAACATGTGTGCCCTTCTTCCTCTACTTTATATGGGACGCCACCACAGCATGGCTTGACAAGTGGTGCGTCAGTCCATGCCCGGGATCCTGCAAACCCCACACCACCACAGTGGAGCACACGAACTTAACCGCTATGCCACTGGGCTGGCCCCAGTCTTAGTATTTTTTGAAAGCTTTTTAGGGGTTTCATTATATCTTTCTTCAGTTTTGTTATGTTGATTTCAGTTTGAGTCTTTTAGAATATTCTTTTTTTTTTTTTTTTAAAGATTTTATTTATTTATTTTTTCCCCCCAAAGCCCCAGTAGATAGTTGTGTGTCATAGCTGCACATCCTTCTAGTTGCTGTATGTGGGACGCGGCCTCAGCATGGCCGGAGAAGCAGCGCGTCGGTGTGAGCCCGGGATCCGAACCCGGGTCGCCAGCAGTGGAGCGCGCTCACTTAACCACCAAGCCACAGGGCCGGCCCTTTTAGAATATTCTTGAAGACCAAGTACCTCGGCTGAGAATTGTAATGGCTTTTCTGTGGTTAGATCCCTGCAGGGAGGGCTGGTGGTTGTGATTGTTTCCCAGTGCTGCCTTTGCATAACTCCTCCTTTTGCCTCATGGAAATGACGGTCATAAGGGCTGGTATGGGTTCATTTTACTAGAGGAATGACTGTAACTACCCAGTCATGTTTAAGTGCTCTGTGGTACACATGTGAAGGGATACTGTGCACTGGACTGTTGGTTACGTGGGTGCAAGAACCAGCTGTCTTTCAGTCATTCTAAGTGCAAACAACAGACACGCACTTTCTGGGAATTTTGCTTATCGAGTCAGTGTAGCACAGGGATAGGAATGCAGGCTTTGGTGTTAGATCAGAATTGGGTCCTGCTTCTGCCCTTGACTCTGTTCATGACCTTGGCCAAATTACCCAGTGCCTGTCAGCCTTAGTTTCTTCATCATTTAAATCGGGATAATGGCAGGATCGTTGTGAGGTGTCAGTGAGATAAAGGGGGTGAATCACAGTGCCCGTGGTAAGTGCCTTAATAAATGGTAGCTATTTTTATGATTGTAACTCTATTTCTTTTCTGTTCAGTGTTACTATTTTAATATAGTTTTATATTTATTTTTATATTTAGCATATTAAAAAACATTTTTTCCCTTTTCTAGAGTCCCCCTGGGTGTGTTTTGGTCCTTGTTCCTGGGCTGGATCTGGTTACAGTTGCTTGAAGTGCCTGATCCTAATGTCATTCCGCACTATGGAACTGGAGTGGTAGTGTTTGCTCTCTCGGTCGTGGTGGAACTTCTAGGAGAACCCTTCTGGGTCTTGGCACAAGCACATATGTTTGTCAAGCTCAAGGTCAGTGTGCCTTCTGCTCTGAATGGGAAATGTGAAGAAAAAGGGAAAGAGTGGTTTTTTAAAAATATTTTGTAGGAAAGAATGGTTTTTTCACATTTGTGTCTAAAAAGATATTTGGAAAAAGGTAACATGATTAGTGTAGTTCATTCACTTGAAATTTGGCAGATGGGGTAGGCTAAAGTTTACCTCTGCTATACTGTTAATGAAAAGGAGATTTGCTAATAGGGAAGTTATTAGTTTAAATAAGAACTTAATAGTACTGTGAAGATTTTTCAGATTTTTCTAATGATTCTATTTTTAGTTGTATATTAATATTAACTTTTCTCTTCATCTTTTAAAATATATAATTTGATATGTACAAAAGAATATATATAACAATTTTGTAAATCTTAAAGCATGATAATATATGGATGCTCCATGAACCTACCACCCAACCTAAGCAGAGCATTACCCATACTACGTCCATATGCCCCACCCCCACTGCCAGGGTAACCACTCTCCCAGATTTTCTAGTTGTCATTCCTTTACATCCTTAGTTTTTCATAATATTTGTAAAGTGCCCCCTTTATCACATGTTTGCAGGTGATTGCTGAGAGCCTGTCGGTAATCCTCAAGAGTGTCCTGACAGCTTGTCTCGTGCTATGGTTGCCTCACTGGGGACTGCACATTTTCTCTTTGGCCCAGGTGAGAGTTATGGCTTTTAACTTTTGTATAATCTCTGTTTCTCCATCTGGTTTTTTCTTCTTGTTCCCGTTACTATGTGGTTTACATTTGCAGTACTCATGCTTGTCAGGAAGGCTGGAAGCTCTAGACAGACGGTCTTCACACTACTTCTCCTGTGGCTGCCATGTCCATCCTACTCCACGCACCGACACCACTGGCGTCCCCAGGGACCCGGTGAGGGCCGCACACTAGGCCTCATTGCCAAACAAAAACTTGAGACATTCTGTTGGCAAGACCTTATCAAACTGATCTTTGATTGTTTGACTGCCTTATGGAGGAAAAAAAAGGCAGTAAGGGGGTGGGGTGGGAATCAAATTACATGTGTGTTATTTTCCCTGGATTTCAGTCAGTTGTTTTCAGAATAGGAGGAAACTGCCAAGCCTGTTTTAAACTTAGATTGAAATCTCACATAGTTCAGAGGGTGTGAATCAAGTCATCACAGGCACGTTTTCAGTTTTAGCAGTTTTGGCTTCATATACATCTTTTCATTTTCTAGTTCTAGTTCATATTTCTAGTTCTAATAAAAATATAACTAGAGTACAAGTGCTAATTTTAAAAATGAAACCTAAGATCAGATAGTTATCAGGACATCTTATAGTACACAGCAGTTTATAACTTTTCTTAATGTATAGGAAGATAAGTTAAAATTCTTAGTAATGACTTATGTGAAAATCTTTACCATGTCCTAGGCAAAAAACTATAAATATTTTTGTGAAACACAGAAGAGCCGGATTTAAAATTAATAGAATAAGAATGAGAATTGCCTCCTAAAAGCAGTTTGCAAACAGTTACATATTTTAGAGAAGTTATTTGTGATTATTTTTGCCACATTTTATTAGATTTGAAGTACAGTTCCCAGCATTCATCATTGTTTTTGATGCACTCTCCCTAATAGGACAGGAGGGCCCTGAAGACGCCCAGTTATTGGTTGACTCTTCTTGGGAAAGGCACTTGCATTATGACTTTCTGATCGTCATACCTCCCACCCAGGATACATCATAGGTCGTAGGTCAGCAAGACCAATTCTGAGTTTATTTGCTTCCTTATCATAAGACTTCTGAGAGGGGCCGGCCCTGTGGCTTAGCGGTTAAGTGCGCACACTCTGCTGCTGGCGGCCCGGGTTTGGATCCCAGGCGCACACCGACACACTGCTTCTCCAGCCATGCTGATGCCATGTCCCACATACAGCAACTAGAAGGATGTGCAGCTATGACATACAACTATCTACTGGGGCTTTGGGGGAAAAATAAATAAATAAAAAATAAAAAAAAAAAAAAAAGACTTCTGAGAGCTCTTCTCCAGTACATTCTCTGTCAGTGTCTGTGTGAGAGGTCTGAGAGCCAGCAGCACCTCATCTCAGCAGGCAAGCCCCTCCCGGGGCTCTGGGATTCCCCCTTGTCCAACCTGTCTCCAGGTTCCTCCTTAAACGGCCCTTCACCCCATGGCATCATATGTCAAATAAAAGGGTCACTCTAGAATATATAAAGAATTCTTACAACTCAACAACAAAAAGACAAAGCACCCAAAAGTGGGTAAAGGATTTGAATAGACATTTCTCCAAAGAAGATATGCAAATAAATGGCCAATTAGCACATGAAAAGATGCTCAACATCATTAGTCATTAGGGAAATGTAAATTAAAACCACAATGAGATACTACCTCATACCCATTAAGATGGGTATCATAAAAAAACAGAATAGGGGCCCAGCCCCATGGCCAAGTGGTTAAAGTTCTGCGCATTCTGCTTCCACAGCCCCAGTTCCTGGGTTTGGATCCCTAGCGCGGACCTACTCCACTCTCCAGCCATGCTGTGGCAGTGTCCCACATACAAAAAAAAAAATAGAGGAAGATTGGCACAGATGTTAGCTCAGGGCTAATCTTCCTCAAGCAAAAAAAAAAGAAAGAAGAGGATTGGCAACAGATATTAGCTCAGGGCGTCTTCTTCAGCAAAAAAACAAAACAAAACAAAACCCCAGAAAATAACAAGTGTTGGTGAAGATGTGGAGGAATTGGAACCCTCATACGTTGCTGGTAGGTGAAATGGTGCAGCCGCTGTGGAAAACAGTTTGGCAGTTCATCAAAAAGTTAAATGTAGAACTGGCATATGAGCCAGCAATTTTACTACTTGGTATATACCCAAAAGAATTGAAAACAGATGTTGAAATAGCTTGTACATGGATGTTCATAGCAGCCCTATTCACAATAGCCAAAAGGTGGAAACAACCTAAATGTCCATCAACTGATGACTACCTAAACAAAATGTAGTCTATCTGTACAATAGAATATTATTCAGCCATAAAAATGAAATCATCACAACATGATGAACGTTGAAAACATTATACTAAGTGTAAGAAGCCAGACACAAAAGGCCACCTATTGTATGATTCCATTAATATGTAATGTCCAGAATAGGCATGTCCATAGAGACAGAAAACAGGTTAATGGTTGCCAGGGGATGGGGGAATGGCGAGTGACTGCTAATGGGTACAGAATTTCCTTTTGGAATGATGGAAATATTCTGGAATTAGATAGTGGTGGTGGTTGTACAACATTGTGAATGTACTGAAAGCCACTGAATTGTATGCTTTAAAATGGTTAAAACGGTCAGTGTTAAGTTCTGTGAATTTTTCCCTAATAAAAAAAGGGAGAGGGATTGTGTAGTTAGGATGTGCTGCATGAAGACTACCCATAGGTTGTTACTATTTCCCAGGCTCTGGTCAGTGGGAAGATGGAGGGAGGCTGGGAAGGGAGCCGGAAAAGGTACTTGTCACAGAGAACCTTTGGCATCAAGTGGCGTGGCACCCAGCAGTGCTGCTTGTCTTAGAGGGTTTGTAGCCTTAAAGAAGAAGAGTGGTGGATGGCAGGCTCTGTCCTCCGGCATAAATGGGGTGGAGAGCTGAGGAGCCTAAACCAAGACTCCTCTTTCTCCTTGCTCTGTGCCTTTGCTACAGGGGCAGCCTTGGTGTTTCCGGACTAAAAGCAGGTACTGGAGGTCTCATTCCTCCTTGAGCTAGTGTGCGCTGCTGTTCTCAGGGGGTAAAGAGGGTAGAAGGGAGCTTGTGAAAAGGGACTCTTTGGATACTCCTCCTCAATCTGCAAACAAAACCCCAGGCTGCCATTTTGTCCCAGATGGGCGGAGGGAGGGTGGGCCTTCTTATCACCCCATCTTCCCTCCCCCATCCTGTAGTAGCTCTTACCCTGCCCATGCCCTGGAACAGAGGAGAGAGCCAGCAGCTCAGTTCTGCTTTTTGATCATAATGTCACAGGTTTCCAGGGTTTATGGAAAATCCCCAGCCCTAGATGACGGCAAGTCCCTGGATATTAGCACAGCCAGGACACATGAATCCTCACAGCGTGTTGTCCTGGCAGGAGAGCCATTCCTTTGGCCACGTATGAATCTTTTGAGAACATGTCTGACTTTACTGTGGAAGTTACACTAGTGGATGTCTCACATGGAAATTAGGTTTTGCCGGCCGGAAGAACTTCTGTTCTCCCAGTTGGGTAAAGTGTTTGGAATACTTTCCCCAGAGAACCTGCAGTGGAGCTGGGTCTTAGTGAGTAGTGCTGTTTTCCAGAGGGAGGCGTTGCTCAACAGAAGGTGCAGTTCATTAAGACAGTCTATTTCTTGATTGGCCTTTGAGGTCAAATTTACAGGTATATCTTAATTATGCCTATATTGAAACTGTAATTTAAACCCATTATTTTCTTCTTTCAGCTTTTCTATACTACAGTTCTGGTGCTCTGCTATGTTATTTATTTCACAAAGTTACTGGGCTCTCCAGAATCAACCAAGCAACAAACTCTTCCTGTCTCCAGAATGACCGATTTGTTACCCAATGTTATGAGAAGTAGAGTAAGTAATGCATTTTGTCTCCTATCGTTTTAATCACAGATGCTGGTTATCTTTGAGAGAAAGAACTACCACTTTATTGTTTATTGTTACAATAGTAAAGATAATTTGATAGCTCATATTTATTGAATACTTGCTATGTGCTAAACCATGGTTTCTAAATCTTGGCACTGTTGACATTTTAGGCTGGATAATTCTTTGTTGTGGGGGCTGTCCTGTGCATTGTGGAATGTTGAGCAGTATTTTTGATCTTTACCTACTAGATGCCAGTAGCTACCACTCTCCAGTTGTAGCAACCAAAAATGTCTCCAGACACTGCCCAGTATTCCCTAGGGGGCAAAATGGCCCCCAGTTGAGAAGCACTGTGCTAGGCCCTGTGCCGAATGCTTTACATGCCTTATTTAATGCTTACAACGACTCGGTGAGACTGACCTTACTATTTCTATTTTAGGGTTGAGGAACTGAGGCTTAGTGACTACATGCCTGCCCAAGGTGAGGGTCAGAGCGAGGACAGGAGCCGGGAGTGGCTTGAATCCCACCAGAGCCCAGGCTGTAACCACTGTACTCCCCTCTCTCTGTTCTGCTGGGTCTCTTGGTTTTTCCCAGGGTTGACCTCTGGCACAGACAGTCCAGAGTGCTGACAGAGCAGGGATGACCCCTGCACAGTTCCTGTTTTGTGTGTGTGAGGAAAATCAACCCTGGCCTAACATCCAATGCCAGTCCTCCTCTTTTTGCTGAGGAAGATCAGCCCTGAACTAGCATCTGTTGCCAATCCTCCTCTTTTTTGCTGAGGAAGACTGGCCCTGGGCTAACATCCGTGCCCATCTTCCTCTACTTTATATGGGACGCCGCCACAACATGGCTTGACAAGCGGTGCGTCAGTGCGCACCCGGGATCAGAACCTGTGAACCCCGGGCCACTGAAGCAGAGCACGTGCACTTAACCACTGCACCACTGGGCTGGCCCCTGCGGAGTTCCTTTATCCAGTGTCAGGCCAGTCTTTCAGGGGATTCACTTTCCCATGTAGACCACTGAGGATTCTAGATGCTGATGTGTGGGAGTGAGGCATAATTTTTCTCTGCTCCACTCTTCCATTCTCAGTCCCTTTGACTTTTATTTCCTGCCTCTTGTGGGGTCAGTGCTGCTGTCTATGGCCTGGAGTTGCACATGTGATGTTATACTGCACTGCCCCTGCCCAGTGCTGTGTGAATTGCTCCCTTCTGTGCTGACCCACTTTCCCTTTTTCCCGTACTTGTTTGCTTGCTGGATGTGGTGCACTTAGTTGAGGTAAGGCTTTTTCTGGACTTCCTCTTATTCCTCTTTTGTGATTACTTGAAACAGTAGTGAAATATTTGGGACTTAAGTCCCAGAACTTACGGAATCCTATTATACAACTTTTCAAGAAAAACCAGATATTATGTAACAAAGCCAGATATGTTCTCATTTGTTAGCGAAGAGTTCTCCATTCCGATCGGCTAGATCTTACCTTTAACCTACATCAACATGACAATTTTTGGATACCATGGTGCCTCATCTGCTGGCTTAGAGGAGTAGGATTCAAGATCACTTCTCTTGCTTGGAGCTTCTGCCACCTGCCCACAGAGTGGGTCTTAGAGTGCAGAAAAATCTCCCTGCCCTGAGTCCCAACCTGTACCAAGCCTGGCCAGCTTTTTATACTGAGCCATCCCTGCACCCCAGTATTTTGGAAAGGAGCATTTGGACTGTTAATACAGGCATGGAGAGAGAGGGTGGAGAAGAGAGTCTGTCAAGTGTGTACTTAACCTTGTGATGGGCTCAGAACTCCGAGCTTCAGTTTCCTTATCTGTCTAATGGGGATACTAAGAGTACCTGCCTCCTAACGTGGTTGTGAGCGTCAGATGAGACAGGGCATGTAAGGTGCCTAACACTGTGGCCTGGCACAGGTCGGTGTCCCTAAGTGACAGCTGCTACCCTGAGAGCAGGAGTAGTGCCACTGGAACATCTTCACAAGGCAAACACTGATGGCACTGGTGTGAGAGCTCAGCAGTTGAATCTGGGAATCTGTCCCGAAAGTACCCATGCTCGTACTGCTGGGAGAGAAGCCTTGACCATGAGGAGGGGGTGTGTGCCTGTCATACACAGTGGCACCATTGCTGCGGACAGGCAGTCGGAGCACGGTCCCATGCTGGGTGCCCTCTGGAGTACAGCGTGTAGCAAGGTGATTGCTGGGCCTCAGGGAGCTTCCTGTGCGTGTGGGAGGCAGTAGGCACAGATCTGAAGCCTGCAGAACTCTCTCCAGACCTCAGGGTCCTCATTTTAAGGGGTGATTGTTGGCCTGCATGACCTGTGAGCCCCTCTGAAGACTTCAGGAGTTCTGTGTAAGTACTCGAATTTGGACGAAGAACCATTTATAGTAACTGCCATTGACTGCATGCTTACTCCGTGCCTGGCGCCATGCCAAGCACTTTATGTGGATGTTTGTGTTTCATCCTCATAGTAATCCTATGAGATAAATACTGTTGTCTCCATTTTACAGAAAGGAAAACTGAGGTTCAGAGGAGTTAAGTGACTAACCCAAAATCACACAGCTCATTTTCAACCAACTTCTCTCTAACTTCTCTCTGTGGACTAACCTTCGTCTATGTGTTTAACCTCTATGCTATGTAGTGTTCCAAAAGAAATTGGCTTATTGACCAAAGTAGTCATTTATTTACTTAAAGATTGGGAAGTTCCAAGTAGAACAATCCATTATTCAAGTTTTGTTGTTTTTTTTTTTTAAAGAGAAAAGAAATGAGATGAATCTGAATGCACTGGATGACTTTACTGCTGGCAACATGCCTAACTTGACTCTCCAGAGCAGCTTTCCACACTAGGGGCCCCCTCATATGAAACTGGTCAAACATTTACATTCAAAATCAATTTGACCCAATTGGGAGATTTCTTTCCTACTCTTGTAGAATTCCATCTTCTTTAAAGATACTTATTTAGCCTTAAAATAAATTAATGATACCTCAAATAATGTCTGCCTTTTATATCTTTTATATTCTTTGACACTTCTGAGTGATTTAATTTCAGAGATCTGCTAATATTTAAGTAAAGCTGAGGAATTTAACACAGCAAGCATGGATTAAGCAGTATTCTGTGTTAAGCACTATACCAGATGCCCTGAGTGGGGTTCCTGCCCTCCGAACTTGCCTTATGGCGGGGAGATAAGATACTCAGCTAGCTACACTGCAAGACAATGTGTATGTGTCTAGTGTTAACAAAATAGAAGCACAGAGAAAGGACTGATGAATGCATCTGGGAGCACCGAGGAAGCTGCTTTTGAGTTGGGCCTTGACACATGGGTGGCAGAGGTGAATGTGCCTGTGTGGCAGAAATGTGCATTTGTGGCTGCAGGAAGGAAGGACATTTGCTCAGGGCCTATTACATGCCTGTCACTGTGTTGGAATTGGGATTGCAGAGACGACTGGGGTACTTAAGTTGGCTGGACAGTCGGGGAGGGGAGAAGAAGCAAAAGGTGGAAGGAGGTTATGGCCTGCTGGGCTAGGGCCAGGTGGTGGTGACCTCAGTGCCGTGGAGTGTGGGCTTAATTCAGAGGCAGTGGAGCCTAATGAAAGGTTTTTGAACAGTGCCATGATCTAATTGCCCATGTTAAGGAGCTTACCATCTGTTACAGTTTTATCTCATTTTTCTCAATCCTTGTACCAGTTCCAGGATGTAGGACTTCTTAGCCCATTTTGCAGATGAGAAAAATGAGTCTTAGCAAAGTTGAGTGTCTTGCCTTTGGCCTTCTCACTAATAAGTCAGGAGCTGAGGTTTAAGCCCCAATCTCTAAGCCTGACTCCGAAGCCTGAACCCTACCATGAGAAGGATGGGCTAGAGAAAAGGTTGGAAGTGAAAAAACTCACGAGGATGCCGTGGCAGTTGTGAGGGTGGGTGGAAATGGGAGCATGGAGAAAGCTGAGGCAGAATTGATAGCTCTGGAGTGAGAGAGAGAGGAAGGAATGCTGTATGGGGTATGGAGGTGATGGAGAGCAGGGTACAGGACCGTGGCCATCAACTCCTTGGTGACTCTTGTCAGTGTGATAAGGATGCAGCTGGAAGGACCATCCTGAGTCAGAAGAGTTTAAAGTGAAAGAGTCGCTTAGGTTAAAGCGCAATGAACCCCTGCATTCTGATTCCAGACCTCCCCTAGCAGTACTGCCCATCACCTTTCACCATCCGTGCCTCAGTTTCTCCATCAGTACAGCGAGGTGGTGGAATGGCTTTTTGGTCAGTGGATTCCAGAGAAATTCACAGCTGTGTAGACCAGCTCAGCAGGACCAACCTAGCTCTTGTGAAATAGCCTCTTTTGACCGTCCCAAGTGACAAATCCATTCTGAACAGGCTGGTAAAAGCCCAAAGAGTGTGCTTCTTTTCTACCACTTAGCAGACGCCTCTGAGAAGAAACCCAGTCTCTGACCAGACTTCCTGCCTTTTTGTCCTTAATGAGCATTTTGGAGATAGTAAGCAGTGTGGCCATTCCTTCTGAACCATGGGTCCATTTAAATTGAAGCCATTAGGAGAAAGGAATGCTCAAGTATGAGCTTTCAGATTAGATACACTATCATGAATTCACTCTTCTAAAGAATATTTTTTTTTTAAAGAGCTCAATCAACTTTCCAAACCCATTCACAGCCTACCAGCAAGTAGGTTCACAAAAGTCTTGTGTGCCAGCAGTAACTGTTCGTTTCCTTGGAAAAGAGCACAGACTGCTGTGCAGACCCCCAGAGGACCACCTGGCATGGGGGAGGGGGCTGCAGTGCTGTGAGAGAGAGAAGAAGCTATGCCCCTGAGCCTCTGAAGCTATCTAAGGATCAGTGTCCAGGATGATGTGGTCCACAGTGCCCTCTAGTGGTGGTAGTCTGGCGCTCTTTGTTCTGGGGAAAGAGATGCCCACTTTCCTTCTCACTGGGAGGGATTTGCTCCTGGACTAGAGCTACCCCTAGCATCTGCTCCAGTCCAGTGATACCCTGAATGCAGCGTAGTTTGGGAGATTTAGGGACCAAAATGAGTTTACCTTTCATGTGGCATTATTGTACTCAGACCTACTGAGGTTTTGTTTTCTCTTCTAGGCTTTTGTAAATTGGACAGAGGCCAAATTGACTTGGAGTTTTTTCAAACAGTCTTTCTTGAAACAGATTTTGACTGAAGGTAAGTAAGAGGTCACTGAGCAGTCAGGAAACGTTTGTAAGGGAGAGGATTCCATGGAACTGCTGATGACCTAGACCAGACCACCTGCTGTCTGGAGCCCCCCTGGGCAGAGGAACCTCAGAAATGGGAGCTTTTTAAACAAGGAGAGAGAAATGAACATTTCTTTAGTTTGATACTTAAGTTGTCTAATTTAAATGTCTCCACAGGCTTGTAAGAAAGATATTGTCCCTATTTATTATGGATGAGGAAACTGAGGGCCAGGGAGGTTTTATAACTTCTGCAGGGTCCTACAGTAATGAGGAACAACTCAATTTGAATCCAAGTCTAACTCTAAAACAGCATGTTATATCATTTAAATAAATATATTATAAAAGTATTATATCAATTACAGAAAATTTGGAAAATAGAGGAAACTATCCGTAATCTCATTATCCTATCCTGACTTTTTATACACTTTCTTTTTTTTTGAACTTTTTTAAGAACCAGGTTTTCATCATTTTATTTTCTTAAACAACAAGATTCACCTGTGTGATAGTTTGGTCAGCCTTCCACTTCTTAAAGCTTTCCACTTTGCGGTGACAGAGCTCTCGATGTAGAGGGCCAGCAAGGAGCTGAAAGTACATCCACTTTTTCTGTGTATGTGTGTTGGTTTATTTATACTCAGCTTTAGTTTAAAGAATGAGATTTGAGGCAGCTATAAGCTGCTGAAGGTAGTGGTTTCTCTCTATATGTAAATTTCATATGTCTATACATCTATGTATCTGTTACTGAATGTATTTTTAAATCTTCGCAAAAATTATCTTTTAATTATAAAATAATATAACCCCATTACAAAGATTTTGGAAAATGGAAAAAATTCCTTATAATTCTAGCATTCTAATACAACCATCATCATTATTATCTTATTTTCCATTTTCCTCCCCTCTATATTTTTTATTATACTTCCAAAGGGAAATAACTCCACTAAGCCTCACTTTCCCATCTGTGAGTTAGGGGCTAGGACCAGGAGGTGTCTGAGGACTCTCGGAGCCTTGAGAGTGCGTTTCTCCCCTGAGCCTATGACATTGCCCTTACAAAAGTGAAACTGTTCACAGGACTTCTGGGAGAAGTAAGGGTCAGAAACGTTTGGAGAGCTGAGTGAAGGTGTCTTAACTACGTTTCTTGAGAGCTTGGAATGTGCTGTTCACCACTGTCTCCCCAGCACCCTGCTGGACCTGCGCATGATAGGTATTCAACAGGTGTTTGTTGATAAAGGAAGGTAACTGTAGTGAAATTGTGGATTGTGATAGTTCACGTTATTGTTAGAACAAGAAAATCAATGGAGGGAGTTTTGGAAAGGGTGGTTGCATATGTGCACTTTTTTTTCCACTTAAAGTGTTTTTTTTTTTTTTTTTTTTGTGAAGAAGACTAGCCCTGAGCTAATATCCAATGCCAATCCTCCTCTTTTTGCTGAGGAAGATTGGCCCTGGGCTAACATCCGTGCCATCTTCCTCTACTTTATATGGGACGCTGCCACAGCATAGCTTGACAAGCGTGGCATCATTGTGCGCTCGGGATCCAAACTTGCAAACCCCAGGCTGCCCCGAAGCGGAGCGTGCGCACTTAACTGTTGCGCCACCAGGCTGGCCCCTCAAAGTTTTAAAAGCAGCTTAAATGAGTTGAGGTTGTCTGGACTGCAGTGGCTAGGCGTGTGTTTGTGACAGCAGGTGTAAGTTAGCCATGCTCGCCAGCCTCCAGTGCTAGGCCTGACTGTGGTGCTAATGGCTCACTCACCCATGGTTGGGCTGCCCTGGCCTAACTGGCAGAGGGCTGTTAGGAACGGCTCGGGGTCTTCATCTCCATGGCTGTGAAATAAGGAAGTGGCTTAACAAGGACCACCAGATTCTTTTTATCTAAAAACTACAGCTCAAAAAAAGTTGAAATCATTCACTGTAGTAGCAAAAATGTATGTGCTGTTACTTTCTGCCCCACATTTCCTGAATACTGTGTGCCAGGTGCTGAGAATACACAGATGAATGAGTAACAGGTCACGGCCTCAAGGAGCTCGTTCTCTCACCAGAGACTCAGACACTTGTGTGGTTACCTCTGATACAGGGCTGCGAGGGCTGTACTTGGAAATGTTAGTTCATTCGCCAGATGGCTCATTTCCTGGAGCTCTGCTAGGAAACCAGGGACATAGAGATGACTGAGACATGGTTCCTGCCCTCAGGGAGGTTACAGAATGTGGGAAGGAGGGGCCTGTTGTGCCAGAACACAGGGAGGTCCCTGCAGAAAAGCCATTCTAGGTGGTGAGAATGCGAAGGGCCAAGGCTGGGAGCACAACCGGCCCAGCCTGACTCAGAACAGCTGGAGGGGCAAAAACCTGGGAGAGTGTAGCAGAGAATGACAATGTGATGGTGGGAGGTAGGGGCAGAGTTGGTGAAGGGAGGCCAAAAAGATAGCTTGGGGTCACTTTATAAAAGGCCTGAAACGCAGAATGAAGGAGCCTGGACTTTTTGCAAACACTAAGGGTGTCAAAGCAGGGGTTGACTTAAGATCTGTATTTGCGCAAGCTAGAACTGTTAGCAGTTAGGATGGATGGGAGCAGTGCAGAGATACAGATGGAGCTCGTGCAGTCCTGTGGGTGAGTGCCTGGGAGGACCTGCAGAGGTTCCTTCCACAGGTGCAGAGGCTGGGAGGTTGTAGGGAGGCAAGGAGCCAAGAGAGACTTGAGAGAAGATCATCACTGCTTCTAGTCTCTTGATATTGCTTTCCTTTTTGAGCAAGTTGCTAGGAGGTGAGAATTTGCCCTTTAGGGCTGTGGGCACTCTTCTGTGCTCGATCTCCATAGTGGTCACTCATAAGATAAGAAAATTCATGGAAGCTGGGGGTGGGAGGGTGGGGCTCTGGGCTGGTGTCTTCACCTTGAGGGCAATTAGACTGTCTTAGATTTGAGTCATGGACTTGGGCTCCAGAGCCTAAACAGCCTCCATGGAGCTTTCTCCACAGGGAGAGGAAACTTTTGATGAGTCTGTGCACAATCATGGACCTTTCATTTCGCAGGATTTACATTCAGATTATCTGACCTCCCTTAAAACTTGGAACATTTTCATTATTAACATTTTAGTGATCTCCTCATACTTTTTGTTTTAACTTATTAGATTGGTTTTGTTGATTTTGTTTTGTTTTTAATTTGACTGGTTTGGAGATCTGCTGTCAATCCCCCAGCACTTTCTAAATTGTTTCTATTTTGAGATTATTTGAAATCAACATTAGGACAGGGAACATGTCTTTAACTGGTTTATCTAATTTTTCTCTTTTGAGAGTATTTGCCAACTAGAAGAGTTGATATATGATAACAGGAAACAAGAAAATAATGTGTATTTGAAATGCTAATTATTTTGTTTTTCTATTTGTAGGCGAGCGATATGTGATGACATTTTTGAACGTGTTAAATTTTGGCGATCAGGGTAAGATGAAATTCTGTAGTGTTTTCATTAAAGGTGAATACTGTTAGGTATTTTCTAATATTTTTCTTTGCAGTTTGATATGTTAAATGAAAAGTGAACCTGAAGATTATAAAAAATGAAGATTGTAAAAAAACAAATCCTGGTGATTGAAAAATGTAGGTCTTTGTAAATATGTACAGTATCCTGACTGTCCCCTCTCATGTGACTTGGGTGGCAGGTTGTCCATTGAGATCTCTGCCCTGACCCTGCTTTCTGCAGAGCTCTGGTGCTCATTCTAGGGGTTGGGAGGCACTAAGAAAAAAGGGAGCTCTCCATCACAGTCACAGAGATTCGCCCCATATTTGTGTGGCTAGATAGGTCGCAGTATTTTTTGCATATCTTTTTTTTTTTTTTTTTTTTTAAAGATTTTATTTATTCAGTTTTTCCCCCCAAAGCCCCAGTAGATAGTTGTATGTCATAGGTTCACATCCTTCTAGTTGCTGTACGTGGGACTCGGCCTC